AACCGATCTCTTCTTAGCCTATTATTGCGCAGTGAATTCAGTCATCACCAACTGTCAGCCAGTCATACCATTTTCAGCAAACAGTTTTTGTAATTGAGACTTATCAAGAATGTTTCGGCGCTGCGTTTGCCAAGAGTGTGCGTTAGAGATTCGGTTACGCGAGTCACGACCATAAAGATCTGCGCCGTCGTGGGGGATTCGGTCCGCGAGAGCATGTGGTTCAAGCGTTCATTTTGTCTTCGCGATACACGATAGCCATGCTCGTTTTTTCCTTCTACGGCGTATCAGTTGACGATAAGAACGGTTTGATGAAAACATTATCTCCTTCGATACAAGAGGACAGCAAAGACTATCTAAACATTTCGGTGGCTCGCTTCGATAAATATCAATATTATTTTCGTCAATTGACATGCCACCGGTCAGCAGTCCTTGACACTTTTTTTAGTTCGTCTTCTTCGTAACTTGTTCTTATTTAGAAGATAGGTGAATCATGCAGTCTTAACTGTCCGAGTCTCGTGCAGCGCTGTTCAGATCTTATGTCGAAAGAATTTTGACTAGATTTGACCGTTTTGGATAATTGACGGTGATTTGAATTTTACTGATGATTTTACTAATCCGTCGTATCGTTTACTGTTTTTTCTGTAAACCATGTAAAGAATATATTATGTTCTGACCTAACGTTTTAAATCATTGGGTTCAGATACTTGTTGGTAACTGAAAATGTGAGTTACTTCAAAACCAAAGTACTTAAGTTTCCCGTTCAAATTGTGTATTTTATAATGAAAAATTTAATCACCTAAAAATTTGAAGAAAAATCGCAGTTCCTCTTGATAAATGTTAATTCTACATACAAATTCTAGGTGTGAAATATAAACAAAAAATACGGAATTTTTAAATTTCTTACCATATCAAAATAGCTATTACATGATCTACTTATACAGTTCATACATATTTTTCTCCTAGTGTGTTGTGTAAAATGGAACATTTGATCACGTATTGTAATATTGTAGATATAAACTTGTACCTGCATACTTCTTCTGATTTTTAAAACAATAACTAACGACAAGTGAACTTCTACGTTAAGCGATTATTCTGTTCTAGTTGTCTTTAGTTACTCTATTACTAGTCGGAAGAAGTATATAGATACAAGTGCGACGTGATACTACTCACCGCAGCAATCTGCTGTAAGGGATGTAGAAGGTTTTTATGACCTAGTTTGTCTTCGACTGGCTCACAGTGGTAACTACCTCAATCATAACACTACTATCGGAAATCAGTCTGTTATTCTTATATTATGGGAAAATTTTTTATGTTCTTAAGAATTGGAAGTGAAAATTCGAAGACTAATACAGTATACAATTCGAAAAATTGCTAAAATACCTCGAAAAATATTGAATTCCCAGTGATTGTATCTTAAACCTTTCTTTCATAAAATTATGCAAAAAAACTATGTAAAAAGAACCATAAACTCTCATTTAAAAAAAAAGCGCAGTCGCACTTTTCAACTATATCAGTGCATTTAGGAAAAAGTTGGTATTATGTGAAGCTCTTCCAATAATGTTAAAGATTTCCTTCACGATTTTTTCTATCTTCATCAGAAACAGAGTTATAGTTTGTCTCAGTTACTAGGTATACCCTATATATTATATATGTTAATAATTTGTGTGACATAAATAACTATGAAAGCTGAAAATGAAATTGTAGATATTGATCAGTAGGCTGTGGATCTTCATGCAAATTCAAGTGTGTAAAAACATAACGGGAACATGTAATTAGAAAAATAGAATTAAGATAAAAAATAATTTGTTCTTGCGGATATTATAAAGAGCACTACATTTTGGACATTTTATATACATTCTCCTATTATGTGCAACTCGTTTAATTTAATAGCTTCAAATTTCCCTTTAAATGCATACAAATCTGTAGTTTACCGATCGGAGTAACTTTCAGTTGGAAATTACATCGTGCGTCCTGGTGGAATATTATCGCATAAGGGTGACAAAGATACTACATAATGCAACGATACGGTCAATGTCAGGCAAACGACAGCTACACACTTCGGTCGACAATTTCAGCCGACAGTCAGTCACTTTCACTTTTTATCGTGTTGAAGGAAGCAAGCGGACAGTTCAGACGTCGTGCACGGTAAAAAATGCGTGTAGTTGCTAATACTTGCATCGAGGCGTTGACATCGGGAAAACTAACGAATGAATTATTCAGGGCGTGGCAAACTAACAAAGAGTTTTTGCTACCAATGTACCAGAAAACGTAGTTTCACTCTTCGATTCGTGGAACGATGTGGCGAGAAAGAAACACAAGGTGCAACGCCAGATGACAAAAAACTGGAAGTGTTAAAAATATCAAAATCTTCGACCTTGTAGAGACATTAACACTTCATGGGCCAAAATTCCACACGCATAAATAAGATTTTTTTCCGTAGAAAAAATATGTTCATTTTTAAGATCAATCGATCATTTTCTATCTTTAAAATTCTAGATTTTTATTTATTTACAAGTTCTGGCGAATATTTAAATTGATATGTATTGGTAAATAATTATGTATATTTTAATCATTATATTGTGGTTAACAAATCATTTACATGGAAGTGATGAGCAAGAAATGTTTTAAAATAATAAACTAACTTGTATCAAAAATAAAAACTAATGTATTGGTTAGGCAAATAATTTTTTTTCCAAATTATTTGTGACTGAATTTCTTTTTCGAAATTATACACTTTAGAAAGCGGAACGCCATCCTTCATTCCCTAAGTTTTAGAATACTTCAGAAAATATATTTTCAACGCACAATTTTGCTAGCTGCTTTTATCCTTTTAACGTGGAGGTTTATTAATAAAAAAATGTTTGTCAACTACATATCGGGAACCGTCTTCTATGTAAATTTATTCCTTTGTTAGTTTAGGTTCTTTGTATGCACGTGTATACCGTGTTAGCGGAAAACGTTGAATGGAGGAATTAAAAATGCATATAATTAAAGATTGTGTTAACGCGCTGATACTTAAGATGGGCGTACAATCTTTCGATCAACTGGTGTATAAGGTGCAACTACTCGTGAAATTCGCCATCTAGGGACTGGCATCATTGATGAAGCAATATCTATGTCTCATACTGACTTATGTCAGGCTCGTATCCAGTATCCCACGTGACGGACACTAATTATATACATAAGTCATCGAACGATCGTTCTTACATATTCTACAAAATTGGAATATAATAATTTGCTTAATGAAATAGAAATTGAAAAGTCATTACTTATAATTGAGATTATCCTTTTAACTTTCTTGGTTCTACAATTTAATTCGCTCAATATACATATAATTATAAAACTGAATTGTGTTGCCAACATGTATGTATTTATATAGAAAAATAACGTGAGCAGCATTTTTGAAAAGTTTCGTTTTACATTTCAATCGAGACCTACAAAATAGAATATATTTTCAGGCGAAGATAAGATTCAAGTAATTTCTTCTTTCCAAGAAGAGAATAAAGGAATATCGATGAATAAAATTTCTAACTATGATATTTTAAAATGGGTCATGAAAAATCATATACCTGTATGATTAACGCGGAATCAATGTGTTGAAACCAATCAATTAATCAATCGGTCGATAATTTATCACTTTAAAATTAATTACTGGACAATATCACGTCATTCAAAATTTACTGTCAGTTAATATTGTTATCGAATAACGTCATTAATGTATTTTTATCGATCGCAACAATGTTAACACATTGAACGCCGGTTAAATTTCAGCTACTAGAAACGTATCGGTGATTATATTAATATATTTTTAAACACCAATCAAACGAAATTTGTAACTTGCGAAAAAGAATAAGGAATTCGATTGTCATTTTAGTTTGGATTTGTGTTATACGTATCTAAAATGTTACATTAATATAGGACTAGCAATTAAACGATAGATTAAAAATCCCGCATTATCGCGGGGCTAGCGCGCAATGTGCTAATGAGCTTTGAACGCAAGAATTAATTTTAAGAAGTTAACTTACATTGCAAACTACGAGATGTTTCGTAATTAACAACGAATGAGATAATTTGATTTTTTAAAAATGTCCTCTATATCTCATTGGGAAACGTTGAATATTCCCAGTCAAAAACTACCGAGTACGAAGGGTTAACTAAATATCAAAAGAATCAATATGCTTCGGAAGTACAATACTACCAAATTTTTCCGTAGCGCTGAACATGTTAACACATCATTGAGTCGTCACGAGTTAATTTGCATTTGCATTTACATTAGCCATTTCAATTTTTAAAATGCAGGGCAATATAGAATATTGCAAACCAAAAATATTCAAAGTTAAATAAAAGATACGTCCAAAGTTCCACTTCAATTCATTATGTATAAATAAAGTATATTGAAGTTTATGCAGATTATTTCACATTCCTATTTAATTACGAAAAATAATAACAGGCGACATGGAAAAGCTTCTGTGTAAAATTGTCGGCCAACAATGTGTTAACACTAGGTTTACGGAAGGCACCAATTTGACGCATATTGAATGTTATAATTACTATTTGGTAAATGTTTACGTCGACTTTGATTGATACAATTGTATCAATATGTATCTCAATTATCTATATTTAAATATCTAACTTCAAAAATCCGAATGAACGAACATGAATTTTTTTAGGAGCAGTAAAGTAAAGCGTTCAATAAATATTAAATATGTGTATCCTTTAACTGATATTTACTTTTCCAGTGAATTTACCGATAGAGTTTTCTGTTGAAGTAGAATGAATGTCTAGAAAAAGAGTTTTTATTACAAATTTGTCAAAAGTTGCTTTTCTTTGTAGGAAAAGGACAATGTAATGTAAATTAATACATTGTAATATAATTGTTTCTTATTTATTACTCTAAATATTAGAAATCAAATAATAAATAAATGTCCGTAAACCTAGTATTAATCATGTCCCGACATGTATCGACAGAGATCGCTTAAAGGCAATGTTGTCGTTTTCAGGTTCACAAAGGTTACTGCGGGAGTTGCGATGCCAACGTACCACAATGCGGGTGGCGGATACCCGAATGTGTCAGCGCCAGCGCGGCAAGCGAAGCTCGACGGCAACCAGAATCACCATACGATCCCCTCAAACGTAACGTCCCATCCCCTATTACAGAACAGCACGCAACACAACGTTCCTTCCAACTTGTCTACAAGCAACATTCCGTCCCACCCAGTATCACCGACAATGACTACGCATTCGAACGTCGTCGCTCCAAATCTAACGAGTCACATGAACACCGGTTCACCGCCGGTGATCCTCACCGCGAACATCACAAACCCCAGCAATCCTACCGCGTTAGCGGTGAATCCGAGACACGAGGTCAAACTGAACGCTATGCCGTACGTATTTGTTCACCGCACACGTTTCTGCGCGTCACCCTCCCGATTCATTTGAGTAAACGTTCCGGTTTCAAACTTTTGCGCTACGCGTCTGCTTAGAAATTGGGAGCAATCCGTGGTTGGGTAATCTTGTTTGTGTTAATCCTTGATGGTTCTTGTTTTGGGATTGGCTACACGTTTCATTTCATTGTAGCAGCTGTTTTGCTTTTCACTTTGGTGTCAGTCTATTTGACTTTTATTTTGGTGAACAGGAATTTTGTTGTAAAATACTAATTAAGAAAATAATGATGAAACGTTATTGCTTGCTGAAATGAAAGATAAGGAAGTTAAAATGACTTTTATTTAATCAGTTAACTGTGGAGTTCAGTAAAAATCTCTTGTTTGGGTGTGTAATGACATCAACCGCTGACGAGTACGTACGTCGAATGCAGGATAGATGCAGCTTATATATATTTAAATAAAATATTAAAGTAAAATGCAAAAGAATTGTTTGTGTCTTGGGCAAAGTAAATAATTGATTGTTGAAAAAATTTGTGTTATTGTTGGTTTCAATATGACGATTATACTTAATTTAATTGTCAAATACAGTTAACTATAATAGTTAATTTTATAAAACTAAAAGATAGAGATTTTGACTATTTTTACATCGATTTACTTTTAATATGTAGTGACATAAATACATCATGTTTTTGTATAATTCTCACTGTCATTGACTATTGTATTTATTATTGTCACTATTCCTTTTAATGAACGGTCTCGTGTACAGATTGTAGCGCGAACGTTTAAAACCGACCCATTATACGTTTTCGCTCAAAACAATTAAGAGAATTCATTGCAAGTCTTACCTGGTCTTATCGTTATAGAAATTATGAATGTTTTGTACAGTTATAATATTGTTTATCTGTGTAGTTTATACTGTGTTTAATGTTTATAAAATCTGCAGAATATGGACAATCATGTACATAAAAGAGATTTTCAAGGGTTTGTATTTTTTATCTACAGATAGAGAGTCAAGGAAACAAATTTGTTCAAATGGAAATGTTGTATAGTAATCGAATTTCTTACTTCTAAAACTAACGGTTTAAACAATATTTAAATAAAATCTGTTATTGCAAAATTTTATTTCAGAACATGTGTAAAAAAGTAGAAACAACAGACTTAATAGATAGTAATGATACTTAATGAAAAATTGAATAAAGAGGCCACATTTTTAATTATTTTGAGCGACGTTCATCTCCATCGTTTCGTCCTGCTTTCACACGCAAGCTTAGGTGTCTACATAATTGTTTGCAACAGAGAAAGTACCACGTCGTCTAGAATACCAACAGATTTGTCACAGATATTCCTAGAACGTCCATACGTCAGAAGTTTTATAAGCACTTTTTTAAAGTTAATGTATAGCCTGAAACATAACTGATATTTTTGCACTGCTTCTTCATTTTGTATCACTATTGAAACTCTTAAAGTTTCTAGAATTATTTTACTTCCTCAGTTCAAAATAAAATGTGCATTACAATTTCTTTGAATGATTTTTGTTTTATGAATAAGATTTTTTGTATTACGTGATTCAGTTACACTTAGTCTTAGACCTTTAAGTCTCAAAACATATTAAAGCGTACCTAAAAAAATCGTTGTACAAAGGGTGCCTCATTCGCTTTGAAGATCGTTCAAACATGTTAAAATATTTCTAACATATTATAAGAAGTACACGCATGAAATCATTCTTGTATATTGAGGATACGAATAATTTACAAAATTTAAATAATTTTTCTCCAAAATTAAATTTCCTAAAAATTGAGAACCCTGAAGTAATTTCACCGGTGAATTCTTATTCTAAACAAGAAACTTTATGAGAATCATCTAGTGGAAATTTCCAATAAAAATCTTAGTTATATAGTGTAAGAATATCTATCACACACAAAGACCAAAGTGCCTTCGATCCCAAGAATCAGTCAGTACATTCACAGCAGCGAGGATCGATCGCTTCTCACGAGGAGATCGAAAGATCCCACCAGACGGTTGGCTCGAACTCGATTAAACCAGCCGGGATTGCCCGCGGCCGGTGTTGCAGATGGTTTCACGGGAAAATATCGCGGGAAACTGCCGAGAGATTGTTGCGACCTAGAGAAGACGGCCTGTTCCTAGTCCGGGAGTCGACGAATTTCCCCGGCGATTATACGCTGTGCGTGTGCTATCAGGGTCGGGTGCAGCACTACCGTGTGAAATACAAGAACAATCAGCTGACCATTGACGACGAGGAGTTCTTCGAGAATTTGGCGTTGTTGGTCGAGCACTACGAGCAAGATGCGGATGGCCTGTGCACGCAGCTGACCAAGTCCCTGCCGAAACAGGGGAAACAGGACTTCTGCGTGGACCCGAAGGCGTTTATGGAGGCTGGCTGGGTGATCCAGACCCACGAACTAGAACTAAGGGAGTGCATCGGCAAGGGAGAATTCGGGGATGTGTTGCTGGGCGTCTATCGGGGCGAAAGGGTCGCAGTGAAGATGCTGAAGGACAACAGCGAGGCAGCTCAGAGGTTTCTAGCCGAGGCTAGCTTGATGACGTCGCTGATCCACGACAACCTGGTGAAGCTGCTGGGCCTCGTTTTCAATAATCAACACATGTACCTGGTTACGGAGTATATGAGCAAAGGATCCCTGGTGGATTATCTGAGATCACGGGGTAGATTGCACGTCTCCAAGAAGGATCAGATCAACTTCGCCTAGTACGTAGAAAACTGTTGCTTCCTCCATTCGTTGCTACCAGTGGAAGAGAGACCCCTCTGAAATACGGTGTTCGTCGTTCTGTTTCAGCGACACGTGCGCTGGCATGGCGTATTTGGAGTCCAGGCACGTAGTGCACAGAGATCTGGCCGCGAGAAACGTTCTCGTTGCGGAGGACAATTCTGCCAAAGTGTCCGACTTCGGGCTGGCAAGGGACGAGAACTTTTCCCTCGAGGGCGGCAAGCTGCCCATCAAATGGACTGCACCAGAGGCTTTAAAGCAGAATGTAAATGTCGCGCTTTGTTATTCCTATTACAAGTAGACTATTTCTTTAAAATTGTACATTTCGAGGATTGTCTTGCAATTTTATGTGGCACTACAAGGGTGTCTCAATGTGAAGTAACACTCGATCATGTCCGCTGTCTTTGGAGATATGAGAAAACTTTATTAACAAAAATTGTTGTATATAATGGTAATAATTTATTTTGTAAGTGGAAGAATTTTGGAGATTTCAAGGTCACCTTCATTTTTTTTTACATAGAATTGTTTTTTTTTTAATTTTAATAATTAATGTTTGTCACGAGTAATGTTCCTTTAAAATTTCTGTTTTCAGAAGTTTTCAAATAAGTCTGATATGTGGAGTTTTGGCATACTTTTGTGGGAGATTTATTCCTTTGGCCGTGTACCATACCCACGAATTGTGAGTAATATTCAGCATTCGTTTTTTCTTTTTCTATTTCCATCTTTCACCTAGAATTGTCATTTTCTCGTGTGTTCTTTTCAGCCATTGGCGGATGTTGTAAAATGCGTAGAAAAGGGATACAAAATGGAGCAACCAGACGGTTGTCCGCACGAGGTTTACGACATTATGAGACAAGTAAGCATGCGAGCGTAACCACAAACTGATTATAATTATATTTGAAAATTATTGTTAATCCAGTATTTTTTACTAGGCATGGGACTTGCAACCTGAAAAGCGACCTACTTTTCACGATATAAAATTAGTGTTGGGTCAACTGAAATCGGAGTACACCAAAGGTGTGAATTAAAAAGGGACACCACTTATTTGTGGTAGACTTGATATAGAAAATATGGGAAACACGGAATTAGCACTTCCAGGAATGATACTTCATCGAAATCAGGGTCGAGGTAGTGACTCTAAATACTTCTCTCGAGGGAACGCAATGTGTTTTTCTTTCATTGTATATTTTTTTCTCATTGTACAAAATAGTATCCATATCGCTTGTATTTATTGTTTACTTTAATTACCTAAAGATAGAGCCTGTTTGAGTTTGTTTCTTGTGTTTGTTTTTTTTTCGTATAAGAGTATTCTGCATACACATTCACCTGCGTCAATCGTGCCTTTGGCCAAGTTAAAGTTCACGACAGAAGAAAAGATGGAAGAAAGGAATTTTGACTTGTAGTACTTGTCTTCGGGTAGTACTTAGAAAGAGAATACAGAGCTGGAAGATTCTTTAAATACGAAATACTTATCTATTACTTAATTCCTTTTTATAATCAGATTTTTTTGGACGGAAAACGCGACAATTTTGTTACGACCGCGCAAATTATGTGAACTTTCTTTTCTAATAATTTTCGTTGTTTTTACGACTTTAGAAATGTTTTCAGGTGTATGAAGCGCCTTCATTGAACTGAATTTTAACAGAGAAATAAATAGAAAATTGTCGCTATACAGTACTCATTTATACAATACCTTTTTGGACTTAAGCTCATAAGGTTGGATATCAGCATTTTTTCACGTAACAATAAAACCGGACGGATTGTAGAAGGAATTAGAAATTTTTACCTTAAGTGGTTCAAGAGATCTTCACACATTTCAAAGACGTTACAGCAAATTGTAGATTACAAGTTAGTCGTATAAGTTCTTTAATCAAAGATTCGTCATAGTGAAGTATTAATTTTTAAACTAAATTATTGCAACCAACGTGCATGAATTATTTAAGTTAACTTGCGAGATATTTGACTATATATGTATATATGCATATATAGCAGTGTAAATGTATCTGTAAATACTTTTGTACATATCCGATTACCGAGAAAAGAAGTAATATTTCGAATACAGTTGATATTGATTAGGAGATTTAATATTGTGGATTGTCCATAATTTTTTTTTTTATTCTAGTTTGTAAGACAATGATTGATTTACACCGCGATATCGAATTGTCCATATGCAATCGCACCAATGTAACGCAATCGTAGAGAAACTCAGACAAATATAAAATAATTAATATTTAAAATAATTAAAAAGGATTGTAGACTTTCGTGTTATTCTATCTTTCTTCTGTAATATAGGAACCCATGACTTATTTAATACTTTTTCCAACAGTTATTAACGGGTTAAGAATATTTATTCATAGAGGATAGGCGGATTTCGACAAATTAGAAGAATGGAAGAAAAGGAGAGAGAGAAACGGGAAAATACTGTTAAAGTATCCTGGATTATTGGAAGATTATAAATTGGTATTATATCGGTATAAAGTTTCTCGCTTTAAGCACAAAGTTTCTTGACAACGGAACATTAATGAAAATACTTTTTGTCAGAGTTGTATACACTCCGTGACTTATTGTTAGAAAATTAAAAAAAAAATGAAAGAAACATGGCAATGTACTCAGTTCCTCGCATTTGTTAATTGTTTTGTAATAGCATTTGGAAGAAGGACCGTCGCGACTGAATAAGCTTTGTAACGATAATTAATTACTAAGCAACACTGTTACGTAAGAGAGCGTGTTTATAGTCGAGTTAATATCAATTGATAACTCGAGGCCGCTCTTCTTCCTACCATGAGTACTGTCAGACATTACTTCCATTGTGCAGTATAAGAATAGCGAAATGTGTGATCGAGATAACTAGATAATAGACAAAACAAATTTTTGACCATAATTACATGATGCGTTTGACTCTTTACCAATACCTTAGATATAATTAATAAAATTGCCGAATAAAATTAGCAGTATTCTTGCAAATTCTACTACAAAAGACAGTTTCGTAATTGGCCTTGAGCGACAGATTGATCTTGATCCGACTATAACAGTCTGAAAGTAGTAGGTAGCCGCATAGGTATGTAGCGTATTTGTAAACGTGCAGTCCATTTATAACTTCAATGACATGTAACATAATGTATATGGCTCTAATCAGTACCTAACGTTTCTGACGATAATAACTCTGACCCGTGTTTTCCGCGTTACGAAGTTGTTTTCGGCGTTCTACGAAAACAGTTTCGTATTCGACGTTACTCGTAATCGAATCTTGACGCTGCCCTTGCTTGGTACTTTTTACGTTTTTGCTGAATATCGGTCCCTCTGTACTTTGTGGTAACCTTCTTTTAGGCAGCATGGTATTACCCCCGACTGCGGTGTGTGAAAAATGTTACTTGTTCTTGTGTAATCCATCATGCACGCGAATATTTGTTACATAAACGGCGTTATAGTTTTCTGAATGTGAGCAGTGTGTTAAATTCGTTTATTTTTTATTCATGATAAAATCTATTATAGATTGTAAGAAGTTTAATATATATATATATATATATATATATATTAAATGTATATGTATATATATATATATTTATATAAAAAAATATATGATATATAAATATATATATGTATATTGAATAACAAACTACATGGTAACCATGGACGTGAGTGAGTTAACTTTAAACTAAGGGTGCATCTAATCCGCATTCGAGGATGAATGAATGTGACTGGGAGCGTACGCGACAACAAGAAAAGAAAATAATGGTGTATGTTTATGTCGGTGATTCACGTTTTTTGGCCTCTACAAATCCGGTCTGTAACGATTCCTGAGAATATTCAAGTAGTTCGACCATGGTTTCGTGTTGTTACTCCCTCTACAATTCTAAAGATTCTCAATAGGGCAGCTATAGCGGGAACTAAATTGGTTCGGATACCAGGCATAGCGACAGTTAATGAAGTGAATTAACGGTTAATAAAGGAAGAGAAGTTACACTGCATTTGTTCACCGGTTGTAATTATTTCTAGCCGTGGGACAAATGTGTGATTTATGTATTCGTAATGTTTTTAGTGTGACAAATTCGTGTACAGAATATTTCACAGAATGCGGATATGAGAAGCTGAAAATACATTCGAGAAAGGAAATAATGAAATAAAGAATCGTATAAATATTTGCCGTATTTGATGTTCATTTTTGCTTATATCTTTAGTTTAATGTACAAATATTTTTATAACCGACTAGTTATTTAATTCTTTTCATAAAAAATGTTTTCGCAAAGAATATATACTTTCTAGAAAAATTAATTTCATAAAAATTATATTTGTGATGATCTGCTCGGCTAGATTACTTTGCACGGAAATTAACATTGTAATAAAACGTTTTTAATAGATTCATGGCTAGTTCTGTATTCTAGGAAATATCCTGTACATAGGTATTCAGAAAGTTTGCGCCGTAATACGTTACTGGGTCTTCCAAAGACATCCAGCATTTGAAGAGACGTTCTTACGATGTTCGATGGTGCATTTAAAAAATTCGAGTTACGCACGGAGGAGAATTTCATTCCGCACATAAAGGAGAAACGCGACAATTGTAATAAATTTGCCTCTTATTATCTCGTTACTTTTCTTATTTAATCTCCAATGTTATACTTTACTGCCAAATGCTAATAAACTCGTGATATTCGGTCGACTATACGATTAATTATTGTTGTCTAGTAATATAGTTCTGTACACTCATTACCTTCTCGTTTTCGAATACCAAATGTTCTTTCGAAATCACCTCGTGCTGAACAACAGCAGCATTTTCAACATTTAATGATGAAGGAACATTTGATATTTTTTGTTTGATACTTATTTCATTTTGTCTACTACTATTAAAACTATCCTTACTGAGGTCAATCGGGGTAATCGATTTTAGTGCTTTTATGCATTCCAAATTATCAGACGAACAATAAAATTTGTTGTTAGACTCTAAATAACGTTCTGATTGTCTCAATTTTAAAGATACAGATCTTTTGTTCACTTTGAATGTTTTGAACGCTACAAAAGGTGACGGACGATCTTGTTGAGAACGTTCCGGATGTTTCAGTTGACTTCTAATCACGAGACTTCTGCGAACTTTTGACGGTCGAGTGAACCCTTTCCTTGACAATTCTCGCGATTGTTCGCAAATTGATCCTCCAATTAACACATAACTTTTGTTTCCTTTGTTTCTAATTATCGAATGTTTTATTTTACGTACTTTGTACAGCTTGTTGCCCATGAGAATACAGTTTTCCCGAGAATTATTTTGTTTACCGATTTCACGATCTATATCTGTCGGAAGTAAAATCCAGTCGTCTTTTCCGGTAATCATTGTTTTATTTGTTTTCACGTAGCTTCGACTCGGGGCAACATCGCCGTTAACGCTCCATAATTTATTGGAGTACAAATGCGAGAACATAGTTTGTAAGTTCGGTATATTATCCAGCAGCGAGCCAAAACGATCTAACCGATTTCCAATCATGGAACAAAGCACGGAAGCGACACTGTTCCTAGAGTCTCTATTTTGGTGATCGGAAGTGCTCCTGTCGCAAATAATTTTCTTGGAGTCTGCTTCAGTTTCCTTCCGACGGTAAAAATTTCGTGAGACATCACCTGATGTTTTCACAATTGACGTTGCTTGTTTCAATGGCGGAAAATTCGTGAACTCTTCAATGACATTGTTGTCTATAATTAAAATATATTATTGTTAGTTGTCTTATATTTAATAAATAAAAGAAAAGTAAAAATTCATAAGAATAATAAGTAAGTATTTGAATGAATTGTGCTAGAATGCTAAAGGTTGAAGTTTATGGTCACTGAAGTTACAGAAGTTAAGAAAAGAAATTTTCTAAATTTGAAGCGCTTGTATAGACAGACTAAAATTAATTAGATGCTCAAGATTTCTGAAGAATTATTTTAACCAGACTAAACGACTACCTTCATTGCAAATATTATTGAAAACAACTCTATAAAAAAATATCTTCCTCTCTTTTTTATTACAGAAAATATTGTTGAAAGTGTATATAATAATATTTAATAGTTCTCTGTTAATACTATTGATACACTGATTATTTTTTTTTATAAACACTATTGATGTTTACTGTGTGAAGATATAACAGAACGTTAATATGGTAATAAACTAAATGTATTGCTACCCTAGTTTTTATTTTCCATGACCGATTCGAATGTTCCAGTACTTATGAACAATAATATAGGTAAACTTACCATGACCATTAGGATCTTTCATAAACATTGACTGCTTTTCAGTTAATAATTTCATTTGTGCGTTTAATTCGATCTCATGTTTAGTTTCATCGTTCGTATCAGATAACATTGAAGAATTGATTCTCTCCGCAAAAAGACACGCATAATTTTGATTTTTTAAATTTCCTAGTTTGGTATTTTCTGAAACTTCATTCACAGAATTAACCGTAGCCTTCCTTTTTTCGTTCATTATTCTCCATCTTCCAAAATCGCTTCTGTCGTACTTAATATTCGTCATTATCGAGACGATCTGTACATTTTCCTTATTCTCATTTTTCTGTCCCGTCTTATCGTTCCCAAAATTAATTCCATCCAAGTTATTCGAACCGGAGTTGTCATTGTTCGTGACGTCCTTTTGTGATCGCTGCGCGTTACTTCCCTTCCCAATTTTCGATTTAAGTCCACCGAGACTTCTAGCAAAACCGGAAATTCTGGCTGCCTTGATCACGCGTATATTTACCAATCCTTTTCTCCCCATTTCTTGATTTTTGGAAGCGTCCTGGGACTCTTTTTCTTCCACTGTCTTTGAATCTTCAGTTGTCTCCGAGACTACACGTTCTTCCTGGAGTCTGCCATTTTCGTCAACTTCTACTCTAACATTCTTGTCTGCCATTGCTTTCGATTCACCCTGCAACTCTACCATTTCTAAGTCCTCGTTTGCTTTTGTCAATCCTCTATCATCCTTCTCAGTGTCTTTAATCGATTCTGCATTGCTTTTCTCTTGATCACCTTCTTCTAGACTCTCGCAACCCTCGCACTGTGTTTGATATTCGACATCCTCAATATTCAAATGATCAGAATCATCTTCGATCTTACACGGATCCTCCTTAATGATCAGTGTCCTAATGATGCTTATAGCTTCAGCCCGGTCAATCTCCGGTCGAAGTTTTTTTTTGTCCGCATCCAAACTATCCTCCGATGAAGTGCCGTCGCAGCTGCAGGTGTCCCAACGCCCATCCACGGACTGATCTTTCGAGGGGCACTGCACGTTTCCCTCTCCAGTGCCGGTGTCCTTGCATGCGGATGCTTCTTCAGAAGTACTGGTTCCTTTATTCTGATTTTCCTGTTTTGTCACTGGAGGTTCATCTTGCCGGGGCTTGATATACAATTTCTTAGGGTTGCGAATTGCTGCTGTAAACGGGTCTGGAGAATCTGGAGTAATGCATGGTTCAAACAACTTTGCCGGGGCGTAGCCGAAGGTGCAACGGGACTCCGAGAACTGCTGTATGATTCTCGAGGTCATGGTAGGCGGTGGCACTAGGATGTTCCTTCGGTTGTCGAATTCGGCTTCCACCTGTCGAATCTTTGCTTGAACGTTGTTCAAACGCGATTCGGCGATTACTCGCTGGGAATGGTACGGGGCGAAGTTGGCGTTTACCCTTTCGTCGCACTCTTTCTGTTTGAGGGCGTTCAACAGCTGTCTGAGCTCTGCGTCGGTTTTTGTGGCGAGAATCGCAGGATCTATCGGCTTGCTAGTCTCTACCTGGAATATGTCGGACTGGTGAACACGTTTCACGGATAGGTATGGTTGGGTAGAATGTAATTTGATTATTAACACGTTGAATGCCATGCCCGTCCAACTTCAATTACTGCAATTCTTTGAATTAAACGATAGTTATTTGAAAACATTCCTATACTGTAAATAACGTTACCTAATGCAGTGACGTTCAGCAAGGCAAACCTGCAATAGTAACAACACAATTCAATTCAGCAATTTAATATTGGATTTCTTCCATTTTGTATATTCTGCACCTTAATAACCGTGCGGCATTTAACGTGTTAACATGTGGAGCTTTATGCGAATTCAAATGTTCGAGGATGTACCTGGAAAAATGAAGTTACGATAAGGGGATAGCAGATATTATAAACTGCATTACAAAATGCTAATGAAGAAGGTACTAAATGGGTAGCATTTTGATTTATGGATGATTTACTTCTGAATAAATCTAATGAAAAAATTCAGTGATTTTAATAACAGAAGATGAAGAACATATGCAAAGTTTCGACCTAAAGGTATTTATATTTTGCTTTTACAAAGAATGTTAAAGAATCCGTGTTTTTTTATCGAAAGAAATGAAATTCCTCAAGCAGTTTAACGAATGTGCGATTTACATTCGAATCATCGTCAGTAATATAGAATTAGATTACATATATTTTGCTTAACTCTGCGGGTAGAATGTAAATGAAGACGCGAAGCGCGTAAACGACCGACACACTTCCGTCGTTTGACGGGAAGAACATATTTTAGTAATAATCATCCCGTTCCCCGACCGCTTCTCATACTCTAGAAAATTGTTAAATGGAGGTTTCAGCGACGCGATGTGCTCGAAGATAGAACGTTGTTGTCTTAATTGCATTTCTCGCTTGATGATGTACAATGCGGCAGGCACGTCGAAGAACCCGTGAGAAGCTCCGATGACTCTTGAGGAGCGCGGCGCAGAACGGAGCGGACACACGAGACGCTTCCGATGGAAAATAAATACAGTAGAAACAGCAGTGGAAAGAAAGACGATTAGATGAAGAATAATGCGATGGTATGAAGTTGTTAACCCTTTGTTTTATAATATCGTGTAAAACTCGTTGCGTAGATTTCAAAGAGATTTTATCACATATAAATATTCTTGAATTTTTTTGCATTCGAATTTTATTTAATTCGGATTTAATTCGAGTTCATTACTATGGTTATTTAATTAGTTCAGATATTTATAACACCCATGTAAGATTTTTTGAATAGAGTAAATTTAAGGGAAAGTAGATGGATGGATAGCAATGTAGAATATAAAATAGCGTCGATTACTTCGGTGGCAAGTGTTACACAATCTACAGCAATATTTCTACAAATTTTTTATTTTTTCGAATTTAACTGCGCTATTTAAAAGGCGCATTTTTCAAGCTTGATATATCAAAAAAATGAAAAAAACCGTACTCCTATATTTTTGTCGTACTATTTTACGTACAAAAATAATAGAAAGTTTTATATTTCAATTTAATTTTACACTTGTACATACGTACATAGTACCAAGTTTATTTATCACAACTCTAATAAGAAAATAATGGTTTAAACCTTGTTTAAACTTCCCATATTTTTTTCCTATTTACTAAAAACAAATAACAAATTTATTGAAACTTTGAATAATACTTTATTAGAAGACACATATTACGGTGTTACTTATTCCTAAAATTAAGTAAAGTCAAACGGCAAACGACTGCGCCGCATTGAAAATAATAACCTCTCAATAAGTTTGTCCCTACCATCGATCACACAGCTGTGTAATAAGACATTCCAAGTTTATTATTTAATAGCATTACTAAACTCCACCCTCCCAATAAAAAAACGAATATATATTTTTCTCCATCCATATGCAATAAAAGTTTTAATTATGTTTTAGCCGCTATCTCACAATAGCACCTTTTATCGTGACACAATCTGTTATCTAAATCTTTTCGCAATATTATAAAACGGAATTAATTGCTGGCGTGTGTTTACCCTGGATTGAAATAACGTGATATACATTTATAGTACCAGATAATTTTATGGAGAAAGCTGTCTACCAATATTTCATCTCAAACTTATTCTTCGAAAAGTAAATTAACATAATTATGAAACTCTTCTTTAAAAGCGTAATCGACTATAAAGTTTAATTGTAATATATTTTGTAGGTGTCTATATTTATTATAATACAATTTAAAATAATTAATTACATATTTCAAAAGAAAAAAATATTGCTATAGGAAGAAATAAACATTGCAAACAACACTTACTTAAAGGAGATATTAATTCCATTCACAACACCAGAAGTATAGGGAATCGGAAAACATTCGCTTTAAATATTTTGTAAATATTATAAGTTGTAATTGCGTTATAATAACTTGTAATTTGTTGAAATTTAACGATGCTTTTCATGCATGCGCATGAAGAAAGGAATTTACTTAATACTATAACAGCTAAAATAATTTCTTTCTGAATTTCTTTTTACAAACACATACTATAAAGAAAACATATAAGTAATTAATTTGATTCAGTAATAAGTAAATTGAAAGTCACTCGAAATCTCAATAAATGTACTATTATAATTTCTATAAAGAAGTACAAACCAAACAATTTCACTGCTCGGTACTTCTAATGTCAATTACTTCTCCAACGATACTTTTCCAATTTGAATACTTACAAAATCAAGAACCTGAAGTATTCATATCAACTCAAGTAGTTTTATCGTCGATTCTATACATTTCCAAACCCATTCGTATTATCTACTTCAAAAATAAAACAAAAAAACTCACCTCGAACCCGTATCCCTGGCACTCCATCACCCTCTTGTTCACCAAGCTCTCGACCTGCGCCTTCAGAATGTTCACCTTCAGCTGCACTAGGGTCAGCAAGGGTATGATACTAGCCGGTAAATTGGTGGTCACATGCAGATTAATCAGCGCGTTCACTTGTTGAGCATTCCTGGACTCCGTCAGCAGTTGATCCTTAGTCAGTAGTCCGATGGCTCTCTGCGCTTTCTCCATCGTCTCTTCTATAGTGCAGACGATATTCGAGCCTGGGACTTTCCGCAGGATCAGCCGCGTGGCTGCGCACGGTATGATCCCCTGCAGTCCTAAGAATTGCGAGACCAAAACTTGCAGGCTGATGGAGGCCGGACAATTACGTTTCGAACAGACGGTGTCGTCGTTGGTCGCTGTGCACCGGTGCTCTTCGGAATCGCTGGCATTCCAATAAGGATTCGCCAGATGATTCCTTGATTCCAAAGATTCCTGTCCGCGCTGGCAGCATCCGCAACCCTGTGACTTTTCCTTGCCGCGCACTAGACCGGTGAACGGTTCGTAAAGCGGCAATGGAATGGGATAGGGTACGAACGAGGGTGGACAATAGATTGACGGCGGGTAATTGAAGCTTGTCGTCAGTCCAGTCGGTGCGGATACGCCTCCTTGATTCGACGGATACGCAAGTTGCTGCTGGTGACTTGCAGACTGATGACAACCACTTGGTAAGATGAATATGGGGGCTGCATTGCTTACGGCGCCGCGAATCTGCTCGACGACGCTCTGGGGCAATTGACCGTAGTTCGGCTGTGTTTGCGCTACAGGTGGTGCAGCGAGAATTTGGTGGGTCGGTTGATACGGGTTCCTCGCAGGTAAAGCGTTCGGTATGTATTGCTGATTCGCGAAAACGATGTCCGCTTGGTGAAGCTGGTAGAACGGCTTGTAGGTATCTAGGCGATGAGTTGTTGTGATAGTAATTAGATTTTAGTTAAATGGGATTGTTTGCTTTTCGAGAATTTGGTTGAGGATACTGTTGAACGCATTATCAGAGATTCGTCGATTAAATGTGGATTTTATGTTTTCATGGTATACTCTGTTCTTTCAAATTGACGACAAATATTATTCGAGTATGATGTACTGGTTTCTATGACATAGTTATTATATAATACGGTAAAAAATATTTAAATAGCTACTTTTGGCGAGCTCATTCGTGTCCAGGGGTAGGATGATCGAGAAATTATTTTGCCATCTAATTTGAATATTGAAAGTAAGAAAATGTATTAAACAAAGGATAAAATATTTTTTATTATTATGTGGGATCTCTTGACAGTGACAGAAACGATTAATCAAGCTTAACAATTTTTTCTATATTAGTTGATAATGTTTTATCCAATAATAGACTTCTATTAACTTTCTGTTTTATTGAAACACTTTACAAAATTTAATATTTCCGTAAACATCCGTTGTTTATTTATTTCCAACCCGAAATTAATATTAACTCTGAATACTTCGAATCAGGAAACATTTATTTCGCAGAAATAATAACTCTTAACTGAGTAAAAAAATTGAGGCGCAATTTTAAAAGAAAATAGTGTTAATGAAGAATCGAACTAAAACAGTAAAAGAATTATGGGTATATGAAATTTTCTACGTATCTATTTGTTTTTGCAGAGACACAGTCAGTACGCTCTTGCGAGACAGACTGTGTTTTTCAAATTTACGATCTCCTATCCAGATAGAAATATCGTCCACCCTCGTAACACTGTCCGAATACCTTGCGGATTCGCCGGGAATGTGACGGGGCTAGTCTGCAATTGTTGAGTGACTGTTTGCGGTTGTTGGTTCGGCTGCAAGTTGTTCTGACTTGTCTGCATCGGTATGCTCTGCGTCGGCATAATCTGTGTGACTAAGGGCACGTTGTACGGTAAATTAATCATCGATGAGACAGGTTAGGTCCCGGTTCGTCTCTTTTGTTCAAGGTGTTCGTGGCCGTTTCCGTGTCACGTTCGATTCCGCGTCGTTGTATAGGTTTCGTCGGCGAGCTGCGTGCGGTTCTGTCACTTAGAATTTCGAATTACGGAAGCCTGGGAGGATTGTCGAATTTTGGGATTGGTTTACGGGGCTGGTAGGACCTGTTGGTAAATTCCACCCTGTCGGCGCTTGAAGTTGCCGCGATACGGTGAAATAGAAGTTACGAAAACTCTTTCCAATGAAATTATTTGCAATTAGTTGTAGTTAACGCGTGGACGCATTGACGTAACGATTAAAACTTGACGGTAAATCCTTTATGTGTATGCAGATTTGAATCGTACAAATGTTAATTATAATTGAGACAATGGCAACTTAACGGATTACAACATTTTTATTATTTGCCATTATTATTTGCAATGTCTTCGTCGTCGTATCAAGTATATTTGTGTTACTGGTATTGATTACTAAATAACTAAGGTCTTTAGGAAATCGTATTGCATTACAAGGCACTGATTAAACAGAAATTTATTTCTATCGCACAAGTTTTATCTGGATTGCGAATATTTCCATAAATTCAGACTTGTACAGTCTAATTTAACGAAATTGAAATGAAATAAAATTTTATTTCCCTCGCAAATGGTTTCTATAAAGCAAATACAAAACGAAACGACATTTAATTTTACTGCTTTATACATTTTGCAACTTTCCTGCGAAATTTTTAATCGTTCTGTATTTACCTACAAGGTTTTGTAACATAGTATCGTCGTGTAATTAGGAATGAGTAAATAAACTACATTTAACTGCTGATACAAAAGTTGAGAATATTTTCACACAACTCTATTAAGAATACTACTATTTTATATTTCGTTTTGTTCATCAAAAGTAGGAATCAAGAACAAATTCGTATTTTAACTCGCGTAATCAGCAGTAACGACAAACAAATTTCGTCTCTATCCGAATCATTTCGTTAAAATTAAAATCACTCCGTCGGCCCGGTGAACAACGTCGGAACGAGGACAAAGACCTTTCTGAGTCGTTTCGTACTGTGATGTCCCATGAAACTTAACGAGTCGCATCCTAGAATGTTTCCTTATTATTATAATTGCTGTGCCCTTGGCTGTACCATCATTATCTAATTTTCCATCTTTGTTCATAGCTCGCTAGCATCGATCTTGACCCGGTGATTTACTTAATTAATTAAACGAAGCAGCGTGCACTGACACGTAGGTCGCTCGTTTCACCGAACTTAATTAAATTCTATAATCATAGTGTTTTTCTAGTGAATTTATCGTCAAATAATTCTTCGTTTAATAGAAACTTCTTTATACTCCATACTTTTTCTGAGTATTCATATAATTTGATTAGTTTTAATACAATTTAATACAATTGTAGATTTCCCTTATTCTAGAAGAAGTATTTTTGCATTTCCCATATACGATTTTAGTGAGTAATTGTCGTAAGCTAATAGTGATCAATTATATTGACAGACTCTTACCTTTTCGATCAAAATTATTAAAATACAGAAATGCTAACGTGGAAATGGATCGAGAAAGGGGAAAAGATTGATTGTACGAAGCTTGTATACGAAAATTATATGAAGCTTGTATACGAAGACTCTTTCAACACTCAGGAGATTTTGGAGTGTGAGTGAGATAAAGCATGTCAGGGCTTAGTATTTTATCTCCAAGTGGATGAATCATCTCTGATGATGTAAGAGTTTGGAAGACGCAGGGTAATTGTAATGCAGATGCTCCGAGACAAACATTTTAACCCTTGTCCTATGATTTCTTTCACAATTGTGTTTGCTACAACTATTTTATCGTTAATAATTGTCTAGGAAAAAAGTAGAATATCTATGTTTACCCTACGTGTACATTTACTGTAATGATTAACTGTTGATAGTAGAAAAATGGTATTTAATTTCAATTCATACAAATATAATGTCATTTACATTTGCTAATCTCTATTTGAAATTTTTACCAGGAGTCTGATACGATATTATGAAACGAGGGGTTAACGAAGAATGAAGGATCTCCTGCTTTCCTTGCAAACCAAATGTTGTTTACTCTGTGGAATATCTGAACATACAAATGTTGTCTACTCTTTGGAATATCTGAACATACTTAACAGATTTTAGTCATGTTGCCGAAACGCTACTTCCTTTTCGACTTCTACGACATTTGGATATATTGTAGAAATCAACATTTTAATACAAGAACTACCAGTAGTTAAACTGATCTTTAGAAATTGTTTTGTAAAATATAATTATTAAAATTTCAATTGATTTATATTTCAGTTTGCGTATTACTATATCAATTTCTTTAATAATTTCTTAAAAAAATACCTGTACCTTTTCAATAATTGTAATAGAACAAATCAGGAATGGGTTATTTTTTACCTACCTGGTACTTCTAGTGTTAAACAACTTTTTCCTGTATACGTAACTGATGATTAAACTTAGTATCTGAGATATAAATATAAGATGACACAAACATAACTAATGCAAGGTTGTAGTGGTTATCGTCAATGAACCATTCAGTAAATAGCGATATCGATTTCACTGTCTATAGGGTGTCCTACGAAAAACCGGTTATTCCAGCTTCGGTCGTCTAAGACTTTGTATTCACACTGAAAGACACGAATTCAAAATTTTTTATCCTCGAAAAACTAACTACGTCAATACCAGTCTCTGATGCCGAAATTAACTTGTTAATTGTGGAATTTAGTTTAAAAAATCTCTCGCTCTGCGCGTAATAAAATCAAGGAATGAAATGTGTATACGTTACACGCAGGACGAATGCACCTAGGGTATATTTTAATGAAAAATCAAAGCAAAACAAAGAAAAATTACATGTTTATTTGAAAAGATAAATAATTCATCGTTGAAAGAATTAGTACATTTCAAGCTTTAAGATGACGTGTATACTCGTCACATGCAGTTAACTGGTTAAATTCATTTCTGTATCTAAAAAACTGACTTTACACGGGACATCCAATAATTACTGAGCTCCTTATCGCTATTGTATCATTTGGCATTTTATAGTCATCGACGTTGGCTCTTACACCGAAGTCCGTTGTATTAACCAGAGTTCTAAGTACATATAAGTTGAATTCGAAGTATCGTGTCGAAAGTTTTTTATTACTCTCTCTTAAATTAATCCACCGCCTATATGTAGAGAAAACAGCAATTTAAAACGTCTAAAATGCATGTTTTCTAAATGTAACACTTATTTCTACAAAAATACGTAAGCAAATCAAAACTGTTCGAACACAGTCATAATCACTCAGTATGTTACGAAATGTGGCGGACAAATAACAAGCCTGTTGCTAAGAAACTTCGCTTTTGGCAAATATTTATAAAACTACTTATCTTCTTCAAAATAGTTACCATTGGAAGTTATGCACCGTTCGAAGCGATGCTATTACTCTTTAATACACACCTGGAAATCGTTTAACTTGTTAACTGTGGAATTGTGTTTAAAAAATCTCTCATTTGGTGCGTAATAAAATCAAAAAATTAAGTGTATACTAAAGCAAAATAAAGAAAAATTATACTGAAAATTTATCTGAAAAAACAAAGAATTCATCGTTGAAAGACTTAGTATCATTTCAAGCTTTAAGATGACGTGTGTACTCGTTAAATGTAGTTAACTGGTTAATTTAATTAATTAATTTATTCCAACCAGTCTATTCTGCTCTGCGACTCCAGAAGAATGCAGCTGTCCCTCCATTTACGCGGAGTGTTCGTCCCACGTGGATTTGTTTTACGCGAATGAAAATCTTATAAATAGAAGCCTGTCAGTACAAAATAAAACAAAATATTACAAAGAAAATCTGGTATAAGTTTTAAAAATACATATTTATTTTACATAGTTTAACAAAAAAGAAATAATAACGGCGTCAGAAAACAAAAGCAAATTTCATTCAGCATCACTAAATGGATCGCGTAAATTGATATCGCCTTCAAACAATACTACCTAAACATTGTTCTAATTTACCGCGTAAAAAAGAGACTCGCGCAAATGTAGGGACGAGTGCATTCCCCTTCAACAATTGGAGCTAAATATTTCATTGAGGCCACAGTTTGGGGCTCTTCAATCCGCATTCCCCTAATCATCGGCTGAAAAGGAGACCCATTTGAGTCTGTCGACCGATCAAACTCCGCCCGCGCTCGGTGTCGACGACCGTCTCCGGCCGTCAGGGTCGAGCATAGGAGTATAAACTTGTCTGTGACGTCATTAGAAGATAAGAGGATTGTTATCGAGGGGAGCCGGCACGCGAGATGATTCGTTACAACATTTCTGTCTGGTTACTTGCGGCCGTCTCGTCGCAACGCGTGCATCGCCGCTGCGAGGTTATCGATAAATACACCGCATTATCGTCGCTGATTGCACACGCGTTCAGATCCTACCCACCAGTCAGTGAATTTCGTTCTCAACACATTCATCTAAATTGGTCCTAATTTTCACCAGAACCATCAACGAACAAACCTCTTCTCCAAACTGTCGAGGATCATTCCTGCGGAACCAACCCGAACATCCAATAGTGAAACATCCACACGGTTCTCAAGAAGTTCGTCTACAGCTGGAAGTAAGTCCTCACTTTTAGAGCAAGACTGTAGAGAGCATAAAAGTTTCCTGCTGTTTTTCATCGAGTAATTACAATACGATATCTGTGTCAGCCGTTGCGCAAGTCCAAAGAAAAAGATCATCCCAGCTTCGCTCGACCGTCGGAGAAGAGTACATACCTACCTTGAACACTCGGGCAGCCAGTCAACTGGTGTCATTGTTCCCGACAGTCCGTCGGAACACGCTGTCTTGTCCGGTTGTTGCGCGTTGCCCGCAGCGACATTATTTTTCTGGTAAATCAACTCGGGACGCTGCGTCGGTATGAAGTCCCATAAGGGCCGTGAGCAGAGTATCGATTTTATCGAGAACGATCTGATACCGGAGATGGTGCATGATCGCCGGTTCTGCGAGCCGGGTTCGCGGGAGTTCGTCGAGTTCGACTCGGCAACCGTGCGGCTCGTCGAGCTGAGCCACACCAGTGAAATCTACCGCGTGGAGACTGTCGTTCGGTTCTCCGGCGAGCCGACTAACTTCCCCTTGTTAGTGAAACTGTTTCCGGAGGAGGGGGAGGAGGAAGAGGAGGAGCGGTCCCGTACGTCGTTCGCCGCGTACCAAAACGAAGAAATGTTTTACGCGAAGATGACAAGCAAGTACGGCGACGATCTCGCGCCGAAGTGTTATCTGGCTGATTTAGGGCGTTACGGGAGACCGGTGTTCGTGCTGGAGGATCTTGAGGCGGTCGGATACTCGCAGGCGGACGGTGAATTGGACGAGGATCACTTGAAATTGTGCGTGGAGGTTCTGGGAAAGTTCCACGGTAGAGGTCTCAGATTGAAGGCCACGGAGCCACCGGTCTTCAGGGAGTTCGAGGCGAAGCTGCTTGAAATTACTCTCACCGAGGAATCGATGAAGCATTACGAGAAAAAATCTTCCAGGTGACTTGTTACTTTCCTCTTACTTTCGTATAATTATTTTTGATTTTGGATAACGCGTACACTCGTCGAACTCAATTAACTGGTTGAATATTTCCTATGGAGTAGGTAATCGATCGATACGAAAATTGTACCGTAAATTAACTACTTTTGGACTCTCGTTGATCAAGCGCTGATAAAATCCTCTGTACCACGCTCTCTATAAGTGCTATAGAGAGCCTCTATATCAGCTGGCCGTTCTTATCGCACCGTTCCTCTTTTTTCAAAATTTATTCCCCACTCATCCGCTTCTTACTCGCTTGGTCAAACATTACCATATAAGGCAATGTCATTCCGAATTCTCTGTATTATCGACTAATTGCTTTGCTTAACAATGCTTCCATAAAATTAAATACAAACTCACTCAAACTTATATATCATTAAGTGTATCATACACACAATAATGGCAAGAAACACAGATGGTGTTTATGTGTATAAATATTATATACGGTGTTCCTGATTCGATGATACATACGAAAAGGGACAGGCAGGCGTTTGTTTTAAATGAAGAAAATAAATTGAAAAAAAATTACATTTTTACACGTGTATAGTACATACAACTTAATTGTGATTGACGTGTCATAAAACTTCTTATACGATACAATAATCAACGTGTTCGTTAAGCGTATAAGCCCTCCTGGGCCCAGCAGCTTTGCAAACTGTTACAAACAGTATTTTCACTCCTATACAACGCTGTAGTTGACAGATTACAACTTTGTACATTGATTGCGGACAATTAAAAATTTAATTTTGTTTATAACAGTCATGTCACCGACCGAATGATGAAATTGATTAATCTACTTTCTTTAAAATCGGGTATTTTTACATCAAGGTGCTTTAAAAATTTCATTCGTCTTATTAATGTATAAATGATATATAATATTTTATATTTTATATCATGTTACTGAATTATGCACGGTTCACTTTGATCTGTTACCTTCTTTCCTGTTTCTGTAAGCTTTATAATTCTATCTTTATAAAGTTTCTTGACTAAGTATTGCGAGCAGAGCATAAAACAAACCTATAGGACAACCTAATATTTTCTTGAAAAGAATTTGCTATATTCTGGTGAAAACATGATAAAGTTTGTATTTCGAATGTACAATTTTTGAAAGTTTTTACATTGATTTGGGCTTCGAAACTAAAGAAATCCATTTCTAAATTATATGTCTAGGCAAACAAATTAATGTGATACACATATTAGTTGCTAATATCAGGATTAATTCAGTAGCGTTCTACAATGTCAAACGTTACATTTGCTTCGCGGGGTAACGTGCACAACGTAAAATATATACTGCGAGCATTGGAAAATTATGGTAATCGTTATGTTACAATTATTTCGTCATTCGCTGACTCTAGTGGTGCCGTTTCGAATTTCGTATCAGTAATTTCGACGTTATTGATGTCAATACCGATGGTATTGCGAGCGCCGCGCGGGCGGAATAATCGGCACACAATCGTGACGGACAGAATCCAAAATTGATTGGGTTTCGGGTATCAACAGATTGACGAGGATCAATTTATTACGAGTTTTGTTAGGAAATCTGTACACACATAGTCGGCTGCAGCTCCTCGACAGTCAATATATAGTGCAATATTTATCCTTGTGACAACGCCGTGAAATATAGACACTACCTGGAAATCCACTGAAATCGATTCCCTGATTAAACTGTTAACGGATTATCGACGAAGATCAGGCTTTCATGCTTTTAAGTACAAGTGTAGTCCGTAATGTATATGATGTACACTGCCGGTCAAAAGTTTGAGACCACTTGATGTGTAACGTCACAAATTAAAAATTATATATTTCATAAATATGTAAATTAATATAATAAACATTATATATTTTTATATTTGACTAATACACATATGTCCTTGCTCCTTTGTCATACACAAAAATTCTCCAATAAAAGTTGTTTCTGAAAACTGGTACTTCTTTTAACCGATGTATCGATCCCGAACTTTTGACCGACAGTGTATACAATGAGTTCGGTTAGGCGACACAACCAAACAAGAGATTATTCTATATCTATATAAAATTCAACCGAGAATGGAGAATAATTTTTGTTTATAAAATTTTTTGTTTGTGAGATACAATAAACCAATATAAAAATTTATGTTTTTAGTATGTAAGCTTTCTCAGTTAGGATAAACAATTCAACTATTTCCGTTGCTATTCATTATGAAAATGGAAAAATAAGTAAAGTCTATGATTAAGTTTCTGTGATTTCTGATCGTGAGAAATTAAAAAAACGAAGCCAATTTTCTTCATATTAGTGTTTGATTCTTATTGTTCTGTGATTTAAATTTAAATTGAAGTATTGTGAAAATAATAAAATAACAATATTGAATCACGGCACTTTCTTCATTGTTCGATGTAGATAGTATTTGTTGAGTTCAATCACCAGGCTTATCATCTTCAGATTATTTTTGTGGGGAGCTTTGATATCTATCCCTTACAATAAAATTCTTATAACAGCAGATAACAGGAAAGAACGAATTCAGAGTGTGTGTTGCATAAGGTGTATATAAATTGTCTGTAAAGAGCACTATAGCATGATTCTACACCTTTAGATCGGTGAAGATTTGAAAATTGACCTTGATCTTGAAATTCAAAAACAAATTTTTATTTTATTGCAATGCATTCTACAAATTATGAGAAAAAGGGTCTCAAAGGAACCAGGGATCGGAACTAAACCGTTTTCTAGAAAAAAGATGCTAAAGTTCAATACATTCTAGAGATCATTATATACATAATATGCTTATATTTTGAAGTCAAGGGTAGTGAGAATTAAGTACAGGTGTTATTATAGCAGATGCATACCGTAAAATTACTATCACGCATCTCTATTTTCTGTTAATTTATTCCTTTACTTCCTTCTTTATCCTTTGCTGTTTAATTTACATTTCTTACGGAACACGGAATAATCCTCGGCTACAAACATCTAAGTAGCGATACGTTGTGATTGCGAAGAGTATATCATAAACGTTGACTACCTGGTTATTTATTCCGCGATTACAGTCGCTGACCGCGGATTATTCCGCTTCATGATGTGATGTAAAACTTATTTTTTAGTGTACTAATTTACAATATTCATTCGTGTTTCACAATACAAACATCACACTATAAAAGGAAATCACACGACCTTTTAACCCCTTGCCGTATTATTTACTTTTGCTACTAAGTTCGTGTAAAATGTTTCTATCAGCAGTTTAGAAGAAACGCAAAGAAATTGTCCTCCGCTTTAAGTACAAATTTACTTTCAAGATAATATATTGCTAACGGCAAAATAGTTTTTTGGTTTGATTCATGTGCATTGAACAACATTGATGTTTATTAAACTAATCCCGAAATTTTCATCGCGAGTCCTACTCGTCATTGTATGGCAAGGGGTTAACGAACCGAATAAAATGAGATAAAGTCAAATAAAATATTCTTACCGCAATTGCAGACTAATTGACATCGTCGAAGGAATGCCGGATCCGACGTTAGCCGAGAAGGTGAAGCTGAAGTTGATTAAGAGCCCGATGGAGACGGTGAAGAGTATTGCGTCGGAGGTGAATGAGCTTGCCACGATCTGCCACGGTCATTTTTCACACGATAACCTACTGTTCAAATACCAGAACGGGAAACCGATCGACGTGAAGGTGATCGACTGGCAAACAATGAGGTACTGTTCACCGGCCGTCGATCTCGGGCCCATTCTACTGTATAATATGAGGTTCGAGAACGGCCCGTCTGAACTTGAAGCGATGTTGACGATGTACGTGGACACCGTCAAGTCTGAGTATCCCGAGATAGCCAGTGAAGGATTGAAGAAGGACATCGTCGACAAGCTTCTGTTCGCGTGTCTTATCTTATCCTTCCAGGAACACATAAGCGACGACGAGCTCACGCGGATTATTCAACAAGCGGAACGATTAAACATCTTCGATTGAATGTCCCATTAAACCTAGCGCTGGCAAGGTATTCCTCGAAACTTGAACTACTAGAGTCCACTGTGAAACAGAGTATACACGTGACCCTCGATTTACGCGGTAAATTAGAACACTATTTACGCGGTAGTTTTTACGTAATCTGAAGTTAACAACACCGAATGAAGTGTACTTTTGTTTCCTGAAATGTTATTATTTATTTCGTTTACATATATGAAATAAATATGTATTTTTGAATCTTATACTAGTTTTCCTTTCGAATATTTTGTTTACTCTTGTATCGACAGACTCCATTTACGCGATTTTTATTCGCGTAAAAGGAATCCACGCGAAACGGATTTTTGCGTAAATCGAGGGTTAAGTGTATGCTGAAGAACATCGTATCTTAAATGATAAATAGTGATAATAAAATTTCAAATTTATTAATATTTCTTAATACGTTGAATGCCAAGAGGATCACCGGTGACCCCCAAATCGAATTACTATAGTTCATTCAATTAAACGATGATTATTTAGAAACATTTCTATATTATAAATAATGCTACGTATAATAATAATACTGCAATCCAATCAAATGATTAAATATTATGTTTTTCCATTTCGTGTATTTTGTTTTATGAAATCGCGTGGCATTCAACGTGTTAATTAATATATATTAAATGGATATTTAATCTATGTGAAGACTATTACTGAAACAAAAGCTAGTGGCGAACATGTTAACGTTATTGTCTTCAGACTGACATCTTCCCCTGCTATTCACTATGATTCGTGAACTTGCATACTACAGTAATGTATGTCTCTTCTCGGTGAAGTTACTATATGTTACTTCGCTGTCATGTGTTGCTCCGGATTCCTGCACGTGTGTACTTGTTAATATAATATTTGGCACATGCAGCACTCGAATATGTATGTACAATTTAATGCTTGTATAAGTGACTTAGAATAACAATGGTTGAACTACTGTTTCTGAGTTTTCAAGGAAGAAAAGTTTTTGTGAAATGTTCATGGATAAATGAAATACTAATATTATAATCATAATTACTAATATTAATAGTGATTAACAATCAATATTATTAATAAGATTGTAATATTAGTATTTAATTAATCCAAGAATATTTCAGAATTCGGAATTAGAAGTTGGACCAGTGTTATTCTAAACCACTCATATGAGCAATTAAAATGTTTTCGGTTGTTCTAAACCGGCGGTATGGCAAAATTTTGTATAAACTGTTTATTTTGAAAACATAAATCGACATAAAAATATTCAGAAAAGGGCATTCGGCGCAATTTCATTAAATTTGGTTGAAAACAATAAATTGCGTAAATGAAAACGTGGAAATGGATAAACTTTCGCAGCGGTTGAATTAAAACATGTACGCTAGCGTTGAAATAGTTGCTAACACGTTTTGTGCAGACGGAAATAAGCGAAACTTTGTAGGCTTGAAGAATAAACTATTTCATTAAAAATGCTAGATACATATCTATGTATTTAATTGAGATTAATTAAAAATTATCTTCGTAATTCTAAGAGTTATCTTGGTATACGACCGATATACAAACAAATTGTTTTAACAAAAGTTGTGTAGTTTCCAATATGTAGAAACAAAATGCATTATCAAACAGAAACTTTTAAAAAATATGTGAAAAAATCACATTGATAGAAAATACAACAACTATAAGTATAACAAAGAACATTCCATTTTTTATTGAAAAATAGTGATATAGGTATACATGTATAATTACCTCATTAGAAACTATTTAATTTTCATTAAAAAGGTTGTTCTATTTATAGTAGCTTCTGATATAGCTTTTAAGGTGTTGAACTTTAAAGTATTGTTTTGACCCTTCCAATTGTATTATCGCAATGAAAAGATATGCATTTTTTATTTTTGATTATTCTTCAAATCTACATAATTTTATTTAAATGCAAGTCGAACAACTTGATATCCAGAATAAGAAAATATTTAAGATACTCAAGTGGCGTGTTTTAATAACTAATATTTAAACTGAAATATTTGTATAAATTTTCGTTTTATTATAGCAATTTGTTTTTTCATTCTCATCAGATGGTAAATACAAGCAACAGTGTGTTATAAATTTATATTGCACGATTATTTTGATAAATAATGTTATGAGACTGAGAATAAATCCTTCTGTTAAAAATCATTCTATTTGATGGCTTTTGTCAACTAATACATAATACCAATAGAATCGATGTGTAATTTTTAAAGAAATAATTTAACGTAAGACATATTAAAGTAGTTTAATTGTAAGATAACGTTTACGACATAAACATCCTATAAATTATCCATCACATTTTACGTTGTTACACATAATATTCATAAATAAAGAATACTTGATAAAGTTCTGTGAAATATTACGTCTCGTTGTGCTAGACACGAAGATGAATTGTAGAAGAACTATCCAACAGATTTATGACGACACCGGAGGAAAGCTTGGTCTGTTTTTTATTCCATTCGCGCTAAAACTAACGCAAACACTTAAATTACATTCACTCTTACTGGAGTATAAGAAGGAGGGAATATTAAATACTAAGACTAAAGTAAAGAATATTCAGATTTAAAAGCGAGACTTATATTTACTTTAACCTACATTTTTCCTAGAAACTACAAACTTTATGCCTTTATATTTATCCCTTTAAATATGCATTCTACATATCTGAAGTTACTGACAAAAATTCTGTTTTTGCGGCTCGAATAAGCTCAAGAAAATATTGAAAATTAAATTTCAACAAATTACAGTGTCCAACAAATTTGAACATTTTTGCGATCTGTAATGTCCACTGGGTGATCCTTACAGAGCTTTTTGTACCAAACACAAATTTGAAAACGAAATTGCTTGATCACTGTCAGTTTTCGAAAAATATGGGTTTTTGTGAAAACGGTTGATTTTGAAAAGAAACAAGTATTACATGAAAACTAAAAGCGATAGGCAGTTCAAATTTGTTGTAAAAAAATAGAGGAGAGTTGCTCGAATATGTAACTATAAAAATTTTGAATATTTCGTGTCATTAAATACTTGTGAATGATGGCTAAATTTTAAAAAAGGGTAAATGCGCGTACTTTGTCCTTCACAATAATTGTAAATAAAGAAAATCAAAATGGATCATTTCGAGTTATCTAGTAGTTTTAGTACGTCATACATTAAGTAATTACTTTCGTAAAATTATGACATATCTCGAAATGCCCAAAGTGCACTTCGTGATGACGGAATATGTCGTTACGACCATAGTACACTCCGTAGTGACGAATTATATCGTCAGACGCAACAAGGCGGGTTTCATGGTACGACGATATAAACATTTCGTTATAAGCGATGAAGGAGATTATCCTTTGCACTCGAGAGGTAACTCTCAGTCACCACATGGTTTATCACAACGAAATTATAATGTAAAGTTTGATATTTCAATGGCTCAAAATAATAGTTCTCTTATTTTTAAGTTCTCGAAAAAAAGAAGTTTTTGTGAAATGTTCTTGGATTAATACTACGTTTACAGAATTTTAAATTTGACGCACACTGAATTTTATAAACATTATTTGGTTAATGTTTACTTCGATTTTGTGAATTGAATGTGAATTTTAATTCTCTGTCTTTGAACCTCTAATTCCTAAAATCTAAATGAACAAATATCAATTTTTTTAAGACCGATAGAATACACTGTACAATAAACGTCCGTAATTCTAGTGTTAATTAAATATTAATATTACAATGTTATTCATGATATCAGTTATCGTAATATTAGTATTTAATTAATCCAAGAACATTTCACAAAATCTTCTTTTATCAAGAACTCAGAAATAATGGATCACGATCTATTATTCTGAATCACTCATTTAATATTAAACTTTGTATAACGCATCGTTATGTAAATTATTGAAATAAAATTATGTGCGATTTTTCGATAAGTCAGTTTCCAAAAATGTTGTATATATTTCATCAGAAAATGTTGAATAATTCTGGTGAAAAATTTCCGAATACAGAAGGTTAAGTTACCAACGAACAGTTGGTCTTTCCACTAAGGAATCGGTCAAAGCATTCTGATCGTGGGTTACTCCATAGCAGCATCCACGGCCCATAGTGTTCCGGTCCATCAGATCACAGCTGTTACGACAGTGAACGCTATCGGCGTTTCACCGTGAAAGGTAACATTATTTTGCTTCGAATAATGCTGCAGATGAAAAATGCAGTTCGACCTCACTGTTTCGGACACGGATTTATGTACATACGTTACGTTACCGCGTACCACCGTTACCGCATTCGTTATACGGGATCAAATCTTCCGTTTCCTCCGTTTGCGTGTCAAGAATTTTCGGACGTATTCTGGACATGATCGAAGCTCGAATTTATTTTTCCAGAAATTGTATTGTGTATCTTTCTGGACAAGAATAAGGGCTGCTGCAAAAATGGGAACAAAGTTTATGTATTTGAGTTACACTGAGAAGATCCCGATAAATCGATTCGCCTGTTATCCTTCTTGTTCTATGCAATTTTTAAAAATATGATTGAACTATTAACTATAGTTAATAGTTAGGGGTAGTGCATAGAGCAATACATTTTCAAAGAAGATATAATATTACCTAGAGTACATATTTCTTTAATTTAATATTGAACAAAGGATTTACTACTAATACATTTCTATTTTTTATTCTTTATAATAATACAGGTAGAAGAGTTTTTATTTAATAATATTTCATAAGCAGTTTTTACACGTTGAAATTTCAAATGATTGATCATTGTACTGACTTATGAAAACCAAGAGTTTTATTAATTTTGTTTTATTACAATGGTGTAGTTTTATTTTTTTTTTGACGAGAATAAATTCCAGAAGAAACTAAATTATATTATTATCTGAGAGATATAAAATTCCGGTAAGCTCGTCAGACTGCTATTTCCATATTTTCCAGAAATGTTTGCTTTTAACATTCACCTCTAAAACGATGGTCATTATACGTGCAGTTTCAAACTTAATCACAGGAAAATAAATCACTTCAGATAAGTAGCGACCACAATTCAATCTCATCCACAATATGTAGATTCCACCTTAAATTTCTCTTCTTAAATTTTCAAGTTTTAACCCTTTGCACTCGAGAGGTGACTCTCAGTCACCATTTGATTTGATAGAACAAAATGATATTACAAAGTGTTATTACAAAGTGTTACATATAATACTGATAATTGATAGATATTACAAAGTGTTATATATAATATTCAGTTTTCTATAATGCATCAATTAGTGAAATATTTGTATAAAATAGATTTATTTCTTCATTCACGTGTTTCCTCATTAGTTGGTTTCAAATAATCGTCTACGTCTCATCAGAAAGTGTCGAATGTTTCTACTGAAAAGCTTCCGAATGCAAAGGGTTAAAAGTACCGAATTGTGTCAGTGTATAACAGATTTTCGGTTCTGAAATTGTAAATATTCACAAACAAAGATGTCAATTAAATAACACAAAATTTTAGAGAAGGGGTACCATTTTCGGAGAACAATCAGCTATCGATTATCCGCGACGAG